GGATGAGGGAAGGACGAGGGGGGGATGGGGGCAAGGAGGGGGGATGGGGGACGAGGAGGGTGCCGGGAGCCACCACCAGGACCACAGAGTCTCTGGCCTGGCCCCATTCTACAGCGAGGCGGGAGGAGGCCTGGCGTAGGGGTGACTCTGGGGCAGCCCTATGCCACAGCCCTCCCCAGAAGCAGATGTGACCCCTCGCCTGCTTCAAAATCCTCAGGCCGGTCAGCACCTGGTGCCTCTAGGCTGCAGCATTGACCCTGCCCAAGGCCCTCAGCCCCTCTCTGCAGGACACACCCACCGGGCAGGCCTCCACATGCCCTTGAGGCGCGTGAGCTGCAGCACCGTGCCTGCTCCGACCCACGGGAGGCCCCGCTGAGGTGTCACCTGCTCCCGCCAGGGTGAGGCAGGGGACCGGGTGGTGGCCTCCTCCAGCCTGACTGGGCAGGGCGGCCCGCGCTCCCCCCGACGCACAGCCATAGCCCTGGGCCCACCCACCACTCTCCAGCCAACCCCTGCCCTCAGGCAGGCCACAGCCGTGCTGCCCCCCTCCTGGGCCTCCCGCCCGCAGCTCTCAGTGGGGCGCGGCTGGCGGGGAGGCGGAGGCCGGCAGCCTGGGGGGGGCACCTCAGAAGGGGGTGGGGAGGATGGGGGGACAGCCAGAAGCCCCCACGTCTGAGGACAGGTGGCGCGCGGGGGCACGCATACCCACACACACCGTCGTAATCGAGGCCCCGTCTCCCCGCCTCCAACAGTCAGGGGCCAGATGCTGGCGGCCACTGGAGGCCGTGTGGTGTGTGACCCGGGCTGGGCGCGTGCGGGGTTCACTGCCAGGCTGGGGCTAACAAGCCTGAGGACGCACTCCACGTGCTGCCGTGGGCCCACATGGAGCGTATGAACAGTAACTCTCCACCCTTGAGGTGGTGGCAGAGATGAACTGTGTGCCCCAGATTCCTATGCTGGAGTCCTGGCCCCCAGCACCCCAGGATGTGGCCACATCTGGAGATGGGGCCTTTACAGAGCTGCTGGAGGTAACATGGGGTCACCGGCATGGGCCCTGATCCGGTGTGACTGGGGTCCTTACAGGAAGAGGGGATCAGGACACAGACCCGCATGGAGGGACGACCCTGTGAGGACCCAGGGAGAGCACAGCCGTCCACACACAGGAGAGAGGCCTCGGGGGGACCCCGCTCCGTCCACACCTGCACCCTGGCTTCCAGTCTCTGGGACTGGGGGACGGTGCGCATCTTCAGTGTCTGTAAGGAGTGCAGGCTGCCTGAGCACCGGAGGGCTAACACCTCCCGGCCCCCACAGGCCCGGGTCAGCAGAGCCTGAGGCTGGAGCAGAGGCAGGCAGGTAGGGGGCACTGCGGCCCTCTGGCCTTACACAAGTATGCTCCTACTCCCAGCTGACCGCTCAGCAGACACATGGCGAGGCTCCCTAAAGGCCTGGGGGCTGGTGCTGGGAGCCCAAGCTCTGGACGCGCGGCTCTGCCCACTGTCTCCTTGAGCCGGGCACCTGGTCAGGGACAGGGGCAGAACAGGGGCATCAGCAATACTTCCAGAAATTTCTCAGCAATCCCGTCAGAGAGGGGCTGCAGTGGGGAAGGGGCAGCGCGTGAGGAGCACAGAACAGCCCTGGCCAGAAGGTCAGGGAAACAGGAAGGGGGAGCTCTCGGGGATGGGGCGGCCGGGTGCCGAGAACCCCAGTCTGCTGCAGGGAGATGGGGCAGCGCCCCAGCAACCGACCAGGCACCATCTCAGCCCCCCGGGACCTGGGGAGCCACTCCTTGGCCTCCCTGCCTCAGCTCCTGCTGTCTATGCCACGTCCACACCACTTCCCAGCAGAGGGGCAGGCCCTGGTTCAGAGACACAGTGTGTGCCCAGTGCGAGGGGCCAGGTGAGGGGTGGGCACCACAGGCCTGCACCAGACGCCAGCATCGGCTGTGCAGACACGGGATGTGGTCCTGGAGGGGCCACCACCTGCCGTCCCCACCTCAGAGCACGGCAGATCCTGATGTCCCACCCACGGAGGGGCCCAACCCAAGGACAGCCGAGGTGAGAGGTGGTCGTGGCCCCTCATGGGCATTCTTCCTTGTCCTGGAGGCCCAGCCCTCAGAGCAGGAGGGGCCTGGAGGAAACAGGGAAGCCCCCCACCCCTCTGGGTAGGTGGCTGGCAGCAGCCCCTCAGAACCCTCTAGTCCAGCCAAGGGCCAACCAGGCAGCTTCCGTCCCCCCACCACAGCACAGCTGGAGGGGGTCACCACGGACGACAGGTACGGACAGGCCTGGACAGGCCTGGCGGCAGCAGGCACCCAACACTCAACCCCCCTGCCCTAGCCTGACACGCTGTGTCCCTGGCGGAGGCAGGCCTGCAGGTGACCCGCAGAGACCACCCCTGCAAAGACGGCAGGCTGCAATAGGCGCGCACCTAGGTCACAGCATCTGAACCCAATCTCCACCGAAAGGACAGTTCTCCAGAAGAGCAGCTGGCTCACACGGTTTCCAGACACCCCAACGAAGGTTGAGAAGATTCAGGATTGCCAAAACACCCAGCGCCCAACAAGGCAAACTTCACAACATCTGGCATCCAACCAGATGAGAGGATGGTCGAGCCTAGGAAGGGGGTCACATCCCCCTCGGTCAGTCCCGGGGTGCGAGCTGCTGTCCAAGGAAGGACAGCAGCTCCTGATGAGAACAAAGGACACACAGAGCTCTGCAGAGCTCCAGCCAGACAGGAGCACGGGAGGAGAGCCACCGGCTGACCAGCTGACCGGACCCAGGACGGGCCCGACTCAGGGCGCAGCTGTCGCAGCCGAGCCCACATGTGGGAAGAGCAGGAGATGTGGAGGAGGACACCCGACACAAACTTCTGGACGTGAGCCCCACAACATGTAAGCGGGAAAGGTGGGGAGGGGACAGCATGTGAGACACGGGCAAAGAAGCCAATGAAAACTGAGCGAGAGAGAAAATTACACGAATATCAGTGGGCAGGGACGAGTCCACCGACCTGACCCATGTATTTGAGGGCCCGGAGGAGAAGAGAAAGAAAGGGACAGAAAAAACATTTAAAGAAACTGGCCAAAATTGTTCCAGATCTCATGGAAAGTATAAACACACGGGTCCCAAAAGCTCAACAAAAACCAAGTGCAAAACACATACAGAAAACCACATGAGGGGACGCCCGAACCAAAACTGGGCCAGGCACTGCCCCAACGGACAGGTCACAGCAGGAAGATGGACACAGGAAAACCCAGGATCACAGACTCAGCAAAAATATCTTTCAAAAAATCAACGCCAAATGAAGTTTCCGTGCCACTCGCGCTGGGAAGGCAGTCCGCATGCCTGTGGATGGGGCGGAACCTCAGGGCCTGTCCCGCCCCCCAACCTGACAGGCTCCGCCCTGCCTGGCCCCTCCCCAGCTCTCAGCCACCACCTCCAGGAGACTTGCAGACCCCCAGCAACGAGGGCCTGGGACGCAGGACAGCACAGGGGGCTGCGCTGCATGGTGGGGAGCCCTGGGCTCACCTGGCCCCGATGACAGGCTCACGTGCGTCCCTGGAGGCTGCATAGTCCATGCCGTAGAGGTTGAGGCCCAGGAGGATCTTGCTGCGCCACTTGGACTTGGGGTCCAGGACCTGGACGCAGGCTCGAACCCAGGACAATGGTGCATTGGGGCCAGGCCTGTGGGGGTGAGGGAGGAGTGGGTTTCAGCAGCAGGCAGAGGCCTCAGGCCACGCACTCTGGGCACCGCAGGCTGTGGCAGGGGGAAGGGAGGGCAGCAGACACAGGCCTCCTGCGGTGCCTTCTAGCTGGACCCGGGCCTCTGCGGTGGACAGAGGCAGCAGTGGGCAGCACTGTGACCCCGCCCACAGGGGCACCTTCTCGTTGGCAACACGGCGGGCGCAGTGCCAGCGGCCACTATGCTGGCAGAGATGGACACCCCAGGACGGTGTTCCCACAAGGGCTGTCCTCTGCCCTCCCTCAACCGCCCCGGAAATGTGAAGGCTGCCCAAGGCAGGGGCAATTGTGGGCCAGGCCCCCCATGTCCCTGGAGCCAAGAGCTGACAGCAGTGTGGCTCCAAGCACGCTGGTGGCAAACCAGGCCTAGCCCCTCTGCCTGTCCAGTGTCCGGGCCCCAGAGGAGGCGAGCATTTCTGTGCCAGGCCATGGAACCTGCTGGGCCCTTGGTGCCCACACTCACTGCTGTGCTGTGGGGTAGTCGTAGGTCATGAGGCTGAAGCCGTCCAGCACGGGGGCCAGCTGCTCAAACTCCTTGTGTGTGAACATGCCCAGCTGGTCGGTCCTGCAACAAGATACGCATGTCCACCACTACCCGTCTCTCACAGCCCAGCCAGCCCCGTCCCTGGCTGGCACCCGAGTCCACCTGAGGACCCAGCAAGCTGGCTGTGGGGGCGCCCAGACCATGCCCCTCCCTCCCTCCACTCTGGGAGGGCTGCAGGTCACTTTCCCTGGAAAGTAACTGGTCACTCGGTTCCAGGGCACAGCCCGCGGCTAAGTCAGGGCCACATTCCAAGAGAAGGCCAGCAGATCAAGCCCAATGTTGGTGGTCAAGCAAAGGCTCATTTCTCTCCGTGTCCCAGCCCTCCCCACCATGCATCCGAGGGCGAGATCAGCCCAGCTCCGGGATGGCCCCATTCCCCCAGGTGGTCCGTCTGCTAGCCTGTCTGCTCTGCCTGCAGCAGCCCCTAAGACTGCCAGATCCCCAGGGGGACTCTCCACATTGTGAGTAGAGACAGGACCCCTCTTCTCAGCCTGCACCCCGGAAACGCTGGGCAAGTGTGTCCCACTGCAGGGACCTCAGAGACGTTCATCCGTTCCATGGGACCCAGGTGACCCTGAGATACTCTGTCTCAGGGCAGCCCCACTCAAACCCAGAGCAGAGCCTCTCCAGCTGCCTTTGGGGGGAGCAGGCAGGATGCCAGGCCCAGGCCCCGCAGAGACACGGGGCACCAACAAGACCTGAAGATAAGCAGTGCCAACAGACAATGGCCTCAACGAGGAGCATCAGACACAATGGGGTGCTCAGGGACACATCTGGGGGCAGATGTTTTGCTGGGCCAGGACAGCCATACTCCCTAATGGGGACAAGCCCCCCAGAGTGGGCCGGAAGATGCCAGGCCCCAGCAGAAAGATGGGCCACAGGTGGCTTGCGAACACATCTCGTACCCTCCAGGCCTCAGCCCTGGGGAAGCACAAGAACAGTGGGCACGTGGGTTCTGGGAAAATGCTTCCCATTTCAAAGGCTCACTCATCTCCAGGTGGGACATTCACATAAGAACCCAGACACCTAGGCCTGCCGTTGCCGGACTCAGTGGCTCAGGAGGGGAGGCAGGGTGTGGGCGGCTGTGAAGCGGTCTAGTGGGGGGGGCGCACCCCTTAGTCCCATGTCTTGGTCCCTGCAGTGCCTGGTGGTTTCCGCAGAGCATTTGGTGCCAGAAACCTTCCCTACTCAACTGGGAGAGGGGACCCCACCCAAGGTCCTGGAGGGGCCAGAACCAGGTGTGAAGGAAAGGCCAGCCGGGGGCAGGACTCCAGCAGGCATGGGGCAGCAGGAAATGAGCTTGGGGGAGGTCCCCAGGAGGCCCACTAGCAAACCCGCTCTATGAGGCATAAGGCCTGCCTTCTCCGGGCCTGCTGGTGCTCAGAGCAGACACTCCTGATGAGGGCCACGGGGGTCGGGGAGGCCCTTCTCCCGTTAATACTCTGCCCTGAGAAGTCCACAGTTTAGGGAGGGCTGCTGGAGTAGTCTGGACCAGGCTCAAGTCAGGCACGACTCCTTGAGCCTCTCCTCCTCTGCGAATTTCAGGGGCTGCCCTGTCAGAGGTGGTTTCCGCTTTGTGAAGTCTGTCCTACAGTCCCACCCTCCCGTGCCCACCACACCCTTCCTGGGGCATCCAGCTCTTCTGGGCCCATCCTCCACACGGGCACCAGCCTCCTGCCACAAGCCAGGCTCCCACACCCCTCCTGCTGGGATGGCCCTGGTCTGCCAGATGCTTCTGGCTGAGTCACCTTCTCTCCAGCCATGGGCAGCCCTCCTTTCTAGAAGGCTGGCAGCCACGCAGGCCCCTCTACTCTGAGACCCCACCACTGCCAGCCTGCGTGCCTCCAAGGCTTCCGCCCTCCCCAGGACTCCCAAACCTCCACCCTCACCCCTCCTGCTTCACTCCCACATGGTGGACGCCTCCCTCGTCCATCACCCTGACCGGCTGCCATGTCTGGGGCTGAGCCCCACTGCCAGTCACCCCAACCTGCTGGGGACCCCACCTCTCATGGTGCCGACTGGTCTCTTCCCCAGAGAGGATCCTGTCCCATCTCCCTAGTCCCGTGGCCACATGCTTGTAGCTGACGCTGCACCCCTCGATCTTCCCCCAGACACCAAGACCGGCCACCTATCGGTGGTAAACCCCAAGTCCTACCCCTGACCAGCCCTCCCGTGGCCAACCCCCATGGGGTCAGTGCAGGCTCTGTGCGTGGCCACTGGCCCCTGCCACCAGCCACAGGGCGGCCCCCACAGTGTGTGCAAGGCAGGTGTCACTGACCATACTCTCGCTATCAGGGCACCCACGTCGGCTCCCCACGGGCCTGGTGGCCCAAGCCCCTGACAGCCTCTGGCCGGCTCAACCCCAGGCTCCGCCACCTGGAGCTAGTGTCTCCATCTGTGTGTGAAGCTGAGTACATGCTCCACTGGAGGCAGGGCTCAAGGTCAGCGTGGCTGCCTGTGCCAGGAGTCCCAGACACAGGCCCACAGCAGAGAAAAGGCATCGCATGCACGCTATCGTCCTGTGCACCAGCCGCGGCGAGGTGAGTGAGGAGCACGACTGCGCCCTGCTGCAGAAAACGCCAAGAGCCATTGACGGGCTTGTCTGTTGGAGAGCTGTCAGCAAGTGTGTGTGTGTGGGGGGGTCAATGTTGTCAGTGAGCTGAGCTCCTGTCGGGCACCGCCCGCCAGAGCCTTGGGGGAAACACTGGGCGGGCGGACAGCTGGGACAGCACAGCCCAGGCCCACAGCCCGGTCGCCAGGAGGGGCTGGCCCGGCCGTGCCCACAGCCCATCACACCCAGAAGCCCCCACCCCCAGCCCTGACCACACTGGCCATGGTCCCCCTGCTGGACATCCCCCTCAGCTGCCTGAGGAGGGTGCATCCTCCCTTGGTGGCTGCAGGGTGAGGGGCGGGCCATCTACGTCCTGCCTAGGTGCCAGGAGCTCGGGGTAAGAACCCCTGGGCACAGATGCACCCCACCGCAGTGCACCTGCCCTTCCAGGCCAGGCCTGGGGGTGGACCTGAGGGGCGTCCAGCCCCTGCACCCTCCCACATTCTCCAGCATATCCTCTGCAGCCCCGCCCTACGCGTGCGCCAGAAGCTGCTAGGCTCTGTGCAGAGGGCTGCAGGTGGGCACCCCGGCCCTGCCTCTGGCTGTGGGACTGTGCAGCACCAGCCCTCAGCCTGAGGAGATGCGCCCAGCCCCTGAGGAGCTTACCTCCACGGAGGGCACCTCCTGTACCCATCCCACAGATGGATCCTGACCACAAAGGATGACAGGGTCTCAACCCGGCCAAGGACCCCCTGGTCCCCAAGCCACCCACAAAAACTGGGAGGAAATGGGCGCCAAGCACCGTGGCCAAACCCACAGGCTCTAGAGGGTCCGCGCCTTGGCCTTCCCAGAGGAAAAGCTCCTCTTCCAGTCCCAGTCCCAGCCCCAACCTCAGGCAGCCACGAGAGGCCCCGCCCTGGGAGCAGCACAGGTCCCCACCGGAGCCAGCCTCAGGACACATGTGCACCTCACACACATTCTCCAACGTGCACACATACATCCGTATGTGTGGGATAAAGGACAGACAGGTGGGGCTCTGGGTGGGCTCCCTCCTGGGTTGAGCAGCACCTGCCCTGCTCCAGGAGGGAGGTGTTGGCCTGTGGGACCCTCCCCACCCACAGAGGACTGAGAACCTTGACAGTGTGGGGAGAAAACTCAGATAGCAGGCTGATGCCCAGGTAATGCAAAGGGCATGGGGGAGCACAGCCCATAGCCTCTGGTGGCATGCCAGGCTCCGTGGGCCAACTGGTGCTTCTGTGAGCCCCTCAGCCTGGGAACACAGCTGGACATCACAGGCCCCAGAGGCCCACCCATCCTGCTGCCACTCGACAGGGTGGGCCAGTTGCTTCGTCCCAGGGCAGCAGGTGGGAGCCCAGCGTGCACCTGTGGGCCAAGGGGCTGGGCTGGCAAAGGTCAAGCAGAGCCCCCAGTTGGTCCCACCCAGACCTCTGTGGCTGCCTCCCCAACAAAGCCCTGCCATCTGACCTTGGGTCTGCCCCTGGTCCCCACAACAGATCTGGAGCATCCATGGTGCCCGGCACTGGGTGACACCCTGGGCAGAGGGGACACGGCTCCAACAACTAGGGCCTGGGCTGCTCGTCCTCCCTGTGCCCTGGGTTCCAGAAGGGTTGCTTCACTGGGCTGGGGAGGGTGAGCAGCCAGGCCGGGGAAGGAGGGGGTGTGACCACACAGCCCGAACCTCCCACAGATGCGGCAGGTGTGGATTCCCTAAAGCTCTGCGTTGTGGTGAAGCTCCAGGGCTACACCTGAGAGTGGAAGTGTCTAAAAGATGCAGGCCCTCAAACTGAGGAACTCCTAACATCTTCCAACGCTCGGCTGGAAGGGTGCAGCCTTCCGCTGCTGATGTGTGAGGACATGTCGCCGTGGCTGACATGGATCCCCAGCCCCAGCTCCCACGGCGTCTACCCACCCAGGGTTGCTACTGACTGGGACGGAGCTGCCCGCCCCCAGCGAGCAAGGAACTTACCCAGGGGTGACAGCCGGTGGGATGACCAGGATGGCCAGCAGCCGGGCCTGGTGCAGGGCCTCAGCCAGGTGGGTGAGCATGTGGATGAGGCCCCTGCAAAGAACCAGGAGATCAAGAACAGGAAGTCGAGAGGCCTGACCCAGACCCACTACAGGGCAGGCGCCCCTTCATGGGCACCTTGTGCCCTGGACGGCTCCAGTGTGGCCCTGCGCCGTGCAAACGCTTGAGCACCAGGGCAGCCCAGCAAGTCCTGCAGGGGTCACCCTCCACCCAAACTGGGCCTGCTCAGAACTTGGCTGGTCCCTGTCCTTCCTCGCTCAGGGTCACCGAGAATGGCATGGGGAACAAAGGGGCATCTGGGCAGCACCCCAGCACCTCTGGCTTCTCCCAGACACACAGCCTGCCCAGGGGGTGGGGAAGGACCTACATGTGCCCAGCATGCTGACCTGCTGGTGGCTGGGTCAGCCCAGGCCACGAAACACCACCTGGCCTACTGGGTGCCACACAGCACCTGAGAGATGCCCCAGGACCAGAATAGTGAGGACAGCTCCACCAACCAGGCCTTGTGCTGTGGGGGAGTCCTAGCCTGGTACCCCAAAGCACTGGCCTCAACTACCCATCCCCCTCCTGTGGCCACCCCCAGCCTGGAAGATACCCAGACACAGCCGTCTGTCTCAGTCCTAGGCAGAGCAGGGGGGCATCCTCCGCCCTGGGACACACAGAAGGGACACCTGTGGGTGGGCATCAGGCGTGACTCCCCACTTGTGCACGGGCATGTCTCAACAGGAAGTGGGCCACCAGGTGGGGGACAGAGAGGAAGCTGGAGTCGTGGACTCCTCTGGCCCTAGAGGCGTGGCAGATACGCCCAGTGGAATGGAGATGAAGCCGGCTCCAGGCACCCCATCCCCCTCATGCCACGCAGCGAGGACCACCTAGTGGGACAGGTGCCCAGGAGCCCTGCAGGTGGCCAAGCTGCGCTCTGTGTTCAGTCTGGCCTGGGCCCAGTCTGCAGAGCCCAGTGCGTCCACCCCTCACGCACAGCGCAGATCAGAGGGGCTAAGGCACGGGATTCTCACCAGCGGGGATGGCAGGGCTGTCCTGGCTGCCCTTGCATGGCCAGGGCATGGGCCCAGTGCCCACCTCCAGGCCCCCCTCCACACAAGTGTGCAGAGGAAGGCTGCGGCCCCGGATGCCTCGAGGAGGGTGGCTGGGTACTGACTGCTGGAGCGCGGCTCGGCAGGAGTGAGCCCTGGCGTGAGGAGTCTCTCCTGCAAGGAGGCAGCCTGGGCTCCAGTCAAGCCCTTGGAGAGCACACGCCCCTTTCCCTGCTGCCGACAGCTGTCGCGTCTGCAGCATGCCCAGCACTGGCTGTCCTGGCTTTCTGGACGGCCCCAGGACTGCGTCTTTGTGAGAAGGGAAGGGTGGTTTTGTGCCCCTGGCGCAGCACCCACCAGCTGGGAACCTGGGGTCACCTGTGTGCCTGCGCACGTGTGGAGGGGACTGGGCCACTCACTGGAGCTGGGCACCATCCCTGCCTGCTGCAACTGCTCGGACCACCTGCTCCTCCCCAGAGGACCTCTGTGGGAGGGAGGCCCGGGGGGCCCGCGTCCAGGGCGTCAAGCCGATGCTGTGCCACCGTGCCCCCACACCACGCAGGCCGTGTGCCCCACAGCATCTGCCGACAATGGCCTTTCCAGGCTGGCCTCTGGAGAAGGAACAGTGCCCTCGGACACCTCGTCAGACGCCCCAGTGAGGGTGACGGGGGGGACGGCCTTGTGAAATGTTCTTGTTGTGCCTCGCTGCCGCCAGGCCCATTCCGTCCTGGGAGACGGCTCCCAGGTGGCGATGTGCCCAGAGCCATCTGTCATCCTGGCTGCTCTCCGCCCCACTCCACCTGGCCCCCGACTGCCCTGCTGGCCGCACCCTCATCACGGGCCTGCTACATCCTGGCTGTGGCTCAGGTAGGCGCCCACCCCCTGCAGCGAGCCGGGGCAGAATGAAGCTGCCTGGTGAGAAGGTGCAGGGGAAGGTCTCCAGCTCCGCCTCAAGAAGGTGCTGGACAGTCACCTTGTCAGGGCTGTTGCCTGGGAGGAGAGGTGAGGAGGGTCTCTTGGCTGAGAGCCAAGACCCCAGGCACAGTTGCCCTGTGCTAGCTCCCGATAAACACAGGAAGCCCCTCCACTTGGCTCGCACTATCTCTACCCATCCTCCCCGCCCAAACTGGGCCTCATGGCCCTCCTAGGGCTAGGGGCTTGGGCCCAAGTGCGGTGGGAACCACAGCTGCCCAGACAGGCCTGCCCCTCCAACCCTGGGCAAGGAGTCCCCAGGCATGCCTGGCTCCAGGCACAGATGAGAGCCAACAGCATGCCTTCCACCTGCACTTGGACACCGCCTCTGAGTGGGCAGAGAATGGCCTGCAGCTGCAGGAGGACAGAAGGGGGGCCGCCCTGGGGGCAGCCCTAGCCCAGTGCTCCCTGCTAGGGCAGGCAGGCATGGAGAAGCGGGGGTGCGGGGGGAGGACGGACGGACTCAGGCTTTGAGCTGGGACTCCTTCAGGCAGAAAAGGGAGGGGATGTTCCAGAGCCAGCGGTGGCTGGCTGACGGCTTCTGCTGTCCCCGGCACCGTGTGGGCTACCCCAGCACTCTGCCACGCGAACATCCAAGACACCCTGTGCAGCACAGCTCGGGACTCCCTCGGCCCTTTGTGGGGCTGACCCCCATGTCCCTGATGGAAGTGGGTGGTGGTTGCTGCAGGCAACACATGACCACTCCCGCCCTGCCTGCCACCACGAGGGGAGCACACAGAGCCTGCAGGCCTGGGCGGCTGACTCATGTCCTAGATGACTTGGTGGCTGGCGTCAGCGGACCTCTTCTCAGCAGAGGGGCTCCTGCTCATGTCCAAGCCTGACCCTGCCGTCACCACCTGGGCCAGTCTCCCCCAGCACACTCCTGGGGGATGCTTATCACACCCCCTTCACCATCCACGCAGGCGTCCGGGTGGGCAAAGCAACAGTGCGGCCAGAGCCGGACGCTGGCCCTCGGCTGCTTCCGGGGCCATCCCTGCCCCTGGGTGTAGACCGTGGGAAGAAGGCCCTCCCCACGATGGCCCTCCCTCAGTCCTTCCTCCACCCTCCTCCAGGACGCCAGGGGGACAGGAAGAGCACAGAGCCCACTCACACGTGCTTCTGGCTCAGCAGCTGGCTCCAGACCTCCACCACGAAGCCGTCAAAGTGCTGGCTCTGAAAGGCACAGGGCAGACAGAGAGGGTCCGAGGAGCCCGGAGGGGTGGGTGGGAAGGCTACCAAGAGCCAGCCACCGCCACCCACACAGTGAGGTCATGGCAGGCCCCGAAGCCCCTCTTTGAAGGGCGCAGTGTGGAGGTCCCCAGAGGAGCCAGGAGCAGGGGGGCTGGGCCTCTTGTGTCCTGTCCACTTGTGTGCCTCTCCAACCCCAACCCCTGGGGGCCTGAAGGGCCAGGAGGGCAGTGGGCAGCCAGGTATCGCCCAAGGGAAGCCTCCCAGCCCAGAGGACCTCTGTGGTCAAGAGGGAGCCTAGGGCAGCCTGGGCTGACCCCATGCAGTGCCAGGCCTCACCTTGGCCACCTGGACCATGGTCTTGCCAAGCTCTTCTATCTCGTCCTCGCTGTCCAAGACATTCCGGAAGTCCTCATGAGTCCAGTCCTCAAACAGGAGTCGGGGCACTTGGGGAATAGACCCACACAGGGATTGTGACCCCTCTGTACTTGGCCCCACCCTCAGGGCAGCCCTTCGCCACCACAGCAGAGTGACCACATAGCTGAGCGCCCACATGGCCTGGTAAGGGAGGGGCGCTGGGTAATGCCGACCTCTTTCCCCCTCACACACCAAGTTTCTGGGTGCCCACTCCTCACGCCTGGCTCCTGCCGGACCGTCTTCCACCCTGATTGGTCTCCAGCTGGCCCCACCCCCCAGGGCTCCTCCTGTTCAGCCGTCACCTGTCCCCTTGCTCCAATCCCCAGCCCCTGCTAATCCCACTGTACTTTGGGAGCATCCTTGCCACCTGTGAGCTCCAGGACTGGGCAGGTAGGGCCGGCATCACTCTCAGCCCGGTCCTGCCAGGGCCTCTACCTCACAGCATGCGGCTTAAGGGCTGGGTGCCCTGACAGTCCAGGCCCAGTGGACTTACCAATACGTGAGCCCTTGGCCTGCTTCCTGACTGCCCGCAACCACCCTGGGGGACAAGGAGAGGACAGTCGATACAGGGACACCTGAAGACCCAGCCCACCCCCAAGGAAGAAAATGCCGGGGACCCTGCAATGGACGTGCAGAGGGGAGGCAGCAAGAGAGAATCTGTGCGTCCAGCCCCCTCCTTCTCTTCCTCCCCTTGCAGAGCAGCCAGGGCAGGTCAGACCTCTGGGTCACTGGGGAGAAAGTGGTGGCATTGGCCACATCTAGAGAAAAGTAGCCTCCAAGGCAGCTAGGGCTGTTTCTGGGAGCTAAAGGGTGCCTGAGGGCCAGGTCCCAGTGCTGCCTGTGTCCTCTGACATGCCCTCCCAGCATCGAGGGATGGTTTTGGGGCTCAGAACACCACAATCAGCTAACACACCCTCCCTCCAAACCCCAAAGGGGGACGGCTATGTGAACTTGGATGCGTGCTCACGGAGGTGGCTGCCAAGATAGCCAGGCCCTCCTGGACACCTCCTCCCTGGACCCTGTGTACAAACTGCCAAAGGGACAGGGTTTGGGCCAATGCCAGACAGTCTCACCTCGTGCACATACACTCAGCTACACACACACTCCCAGACAGAGTGTCACACCCTCACACTCACACACATGCAGACATGCACTCACACCCTTCTGGGCCCTCAGGACGAGCACAGATGAGCAGCAACGTGAGAACCTTGGTCCACGTCGTGAAGGCCTGTGACCTCGAACATCTCCCGACCCCGCCGCTTCAGTTGTAGCCACACGGGCGAGATGTGCGTGAACTTGCTCCCGAAGACCTTTGCAACATCATAGCCATGGCTGTTCCACTGGCAGAAAATGGAGAACAGATGAGTGCACTTGCAGCTGTGGACAGAGGGCCCTAGAGACACCACAGGACCACCTGGGCCACGTGGGACAAGCCCCCAGAAAACCTTTGAGATGGCTGTCACTTCTTCGGGAGGCCTCTCTCCCCATGTACCTGCACGGCAGCAACCCTGGGAGGTGAGGACCCCAGTGGCCACCTTGCCCTCGGGACCTCCCTATCTGCCCCAGGGTCTGGCTTACTGGAGTGACGTAGCCCAGGACGTCCCCAGCAAAGTGCCTCTCCCGGGCCTTTGCTGAGCAGTAGCTACGATGCTCCAGAACCACATCCTCAGCCCTAAGGTCCATCACCACCAGACCCCGGTCTTGGACAGGCTTCTCTGAAAACTGAGTCTGAAATAAAAGCAACAGGACAAAATGGTCAAGGCCTGCTGTCCACAGGCAGGACACGGGACCCCGAGGAACAGCAACAGTGCTCTGATCAGCCAGGCACTGTGTCGTGGGATCAACACAGTGCTGCTGACCGGAGACCACAGGGAAAGGTCCACCCTTGAGGAGCTGACAGTCCCTGAGGACTCACTCTCCCATCCCAGAAAAATGGCGCAAAGGCATGTCTCTTGTCTGATCCACTCGACCACCACTAAGATCATAGAGCTCCGCAAGGCAGGACAAGAGTATGGCCATGGGAAGAAGCAGAGGCGGTGTGAGGGCCGAAATCTGGGCCAGTGGGGGTGGGCACACCCTCAGCCCCTTCTCCAGAAGCTGCTCCTTCTCAGGCCATTGGCCAAAGTCCCGGGCAATACTGGCCAGCTGCCCGAGGAGGCCAAGGCCCCAGCCTCCCGGCTTACAGAGCGCTGCATCGCAGGCCTCGGCACGCGACTCCAGGGGGCAGGAAGAGGCCAACCCCCAGAACACCCCTACCTTCTCCAGCAGTGTCTTCGAGGCGGCCTTTTTGGCATCTGACTTTGACAGAGTAGTATGAACAGAGCTGCAGGCCAGAGCAAGCCAGAGCGTGCTGAGCAGCGTCCTCATGGTGGGAATATCACAGTGCAGTCCAACCTCGGGGGCCAGGGGGCTGTAGAGAGAGCAGAGCACACATGACCACCAGCAGTGTGGGGTGTCCCCTCTGCCAAATGGAGCACCTCATAGGGCCTGGGTCCTCATGGCACTGCCTGGGCACTGGCCCCAGGACAGAGCCCTACCCTGGGCCAGCCCTAGTGGCCTGACTAGCCTCCGGCACTGCTGGGCCCCTCGTTCCTCAGATGCCCAGAAAGGGGCCTCCCTGCTGCTGGTCAGAAAGCCTTCCCCACTGCCTCAGGGCTGCCCTGACCACGGGTGCCATCTAGGGAAACGGTGGCTGCCCCCCCACCAACCCAAAGAAATCCAGGCTACTGGAGGGCTTAAGTGTAAAACAGCAGTGCCACGGAAAGGCCTAGAAGAAAATATGGGTGCCTGCTTCTGAAAACTCAGGGCGGAGAAGGCCCTTCCAAGTACGTCAGCAGTGTGGAAGTTAGGGAAGAACAGGCCAACAGAATTCATTATATAGAAACGTGACACTTCAGGGGCGCCTGGGTGGCTCAGTTGGTGAAGCATCTGCCTTTGGCTCAGGTCATGGTCTCGGGGTCCTGGGATCGAGCCCCACGTTGGGCTCTCTCCTCGGTGGGGAGTCTGCTTGTCCCTCTCCCTCTGCCCCTCACCCCCGCTTGTACGCTCTCTCTCTCAAATAAATTAATAAAATCTTTAAAAAACCCCACAAACTTTAGGGGCACCTGGGTGGCTCAGTTGGTTAAGCGGCTGCCTTCGGCTCAGGTCATGATCCCGGGGTCCTGGGATCCAACCCCGCATCAGGCTCCCTGCTCGGGGAGCAGGGGGGAAGGAGCCCGATTCTACCTCTCCCTCTGCCTGCTGTTCCCCCTGCTTGTGCTCTCTGTCTGTCAAATAAATAAATAAAATCTTTTTTTTTTTAAAGATTTTATTTATTTGACAGAGAGAGAGACAGCGAGAGAGGGAACA